CCCCCCATAATTTACGCCCATGGCCAAAGTGCATGCCTTTTTGGGGCGAGGTACTGTCATGATCTGTCCCGTCGCCTCCTCATCTCTAACCCTCCTAATTCTCTCCAGCTGTATCTCATTGCTGATGTTCTCCACATGGTAACATCATACACCTGCCTCTTGTCAGTGACTACTGTACTGTGTGTATATGTGCCTGCATACACTCACTGTGTTCCCCAGCTCAGACATATGTAGTTTTGTATGTTTGCCCGATAAAGTCCACATCTGTCCCAACACTGCTGCATGTGGGTTGTGTCGCGCCCGAAACACGCAAGGGGCTGAGTGATTTCACCCTTGGGTATTTGGACTGTGGGGGGAAAACCAGAATACCCAGAGGAAACCCACACAACAAAGGGACAACATACAAACACAACGAGGGGGCGGCATTCAAATTCCCAACCCTGGGAACACCCGCATATTAGCATAATTCGTATTAATAGCTCAAAACACGGGGGGGCGGCGCATAGTGATATTAATGAGAACTAATAAAATATGTAATAAAAAACAGATTTGTATTAAAGTAAAATAAAAATAAATAAACACCGCATTGTTTGTTCAATTATTATTTGTTAGAGGTTTCTTTGCACAAGATTGTAAATTATGTTTACAGTACAGCCATAAAGGAATGCGTTACTGGGAAAATGTGGTGATTTCATTCCCGGTATTTCTACATCATATAGAACTTCAGCATCGGGACCCATTACACAGACTTCGCCCTGCAAGATCAAGCACCCAAATGAAGCGACTTCGCTGTGACGAGACTTAATCACAGCAGTATTTCAGTTTATAACAAAGAAGTGAAGATCACTATAACGCCATTGGTTCTCTCTCTCTTCTCGAAGAAAAAACGTTGAAACTACCCTCCCCCTGTTTATATGAATCATTGACCGATACTTTGGTTCCTCCGCTCACAGCAATATTAAAGCCCTGCGCACATGCCAGTTAATGACCGTCGCGGTTACTCTGTTGAAATGGAGACCGGTTCGGCGCGATTTCAGCCGGTCCACAGTACGGAGCCAGCCTGCAGACCGATTATTCTCGGAACTTTGATTGTTATGGGATTGCTTCAGGTCACCACTAGTGTAGTAGTCTTGTTGCACTTAACAGGTTACCTTAACGAGGTAAGCACTCTGGATTATACATTAGAGTTCCAGTAATCTTTGAATTACTGCTGTGAAATGAACACATACTTTCTGAGTGTGAATTTTTACAGAATCTTATTGCACATATAATTAATTGGAAAACATACATGCTTGTGGGTCAGATCTACAAAATAAATGATTAGATCGCGTTTACTTTTTGTAAGATTGCATGAATGCATTTGCTGAGCTCTAAACTCTTAAGTGACATGTCTTGTAGATTTTTCTGTTTGTGTCTCTGCGTCTGTTCAGTTCCATGCATCTTAACTTTTCCCCCCCGATCTTTCGGTGGTTTTTTAGATACTCACGTTTACCTAAATGGTTGCAAATCCTTCAGGCAAATTGCGCGGAGGATACACAGTTTAAAGCTTTTTCTGCATAGTCAGCCTTTCTGCTTTACCATTCATGTGCTCGATGCACGGTATCTTCTATACCCATTTCTGTTAGTGCTTTCATATCAACCTACCGTAATCGAATCGGACATGTTTAACAGTGTAATAGATATTACAGGAGAGTCAAGCGGCCGGTACCCCATGTCTTGGTTCCTCAGCTTGTAATATTTATAGTAAAAATTTGCAGTGATATTTACAGCACACACACGTAATGGAAGGTGATGTTAACTCACATCTGGATTAAGTTATTTTTTAAATTGTTGTTCTCATAGTGTTCAGTACAGTAGCTTTGAATGACTGGCATCCTGAGCTAAGTGTTTATGAAGGGAAGGAAGGAAAAGAGATGCTTGTTTACATTTAGTTGGAAAAGAGAAAAATATTCTTATTCTACCAAGGAACATGTTCTGAGGGGCATGAGACTGTGTTAAAATGAGGGTGTTACAAAAACATGGCCTCGACTTTTCTCAACTATCTAATACATCCAGGAAACACTCGTAGCACTTTTGGAAACTTTGAAAGTCATTTAAATTGACTTGCACTGAGTGTTTTGAACTCTTGTTTCTACATACTTGGCTGCCTTGGTAGCGATGCACAGACTGCAGGAATATTCATCTCCCTTCAGTCTTCTTAATACAAAATTATTGGCTTAATTTCCTGCAGTTTGTTAACTGACTATTTGGAATGTTAACTAAGTAAATATTTGCATTCTATACCATTGTTTGTGGTGTAAGCTGATTGTCTTCAATCTTGCTCACATTTTTTGGAGGTGACCAGATTTAAATAATATACTTACAATAAAACATTTCAGATGCTCCAGAGACACTTAGTGGCATGTCTATGTAATCGAAATCACCCCTCCTTGTAAGGAATGGGACTTTTTTTTGGCATAAACAAAACATTGTGTTTTTGAGCCTTCTCAGTGTTGGCCGTCAGCCCAGTTGGCAGGCTCCGATGAAGGGGAAGATGGTGTTTAGTTGTTTGTAGCATGTGGGGGGATTATGTAAAGGAGATGTTCTTTCTGATGGTGCCCTGATCTGTAAGTGGTTTACTTTTGGCAACGAGTCACAGTGCTGCAGGCACAAGCTGTAGAGTAACAAGTGCTCAGCATGTTTATGTAAAAAGCAACACTCATTTACAGCTGAAGTGCTTCACTAATATGCCGTATATCTGTCAGCCCCCAGGCCCAGCAGAAAAAAATGAGCTTGGAAATCGATACGTCTGTGACCAGTTGCATAGCAGGAGGCAATGTGTGTGCCTCATATACAGGCAATGCATCTAGCATTTTAGCGCCAGCCCTTGGGCTGAGAAGAAAGCAGTGTGCATTTGTATGCTTGCTCCCTGGTTATAAAAGATTAGGTGTTCAGAATACATGCACCTGTCTTTTCACTTCCAGATGTTATGTAAATGCTTAGGTAAGAGCGTACACTTCAGCAGTGGATAGAGATGATCTTCACATAGATCGATGCATTTCAGGATACCTCCCACATTTCTGTATCAGTGTCATATGTGAATGTTTTCTTTCATTCAGTACTTTATGTTTCTTTTTTTTCTAGGTAGGCTATATTACTGTCCAACAGAAGCCATTAAAGGTGAGTTTTGTTGTCATACTTCAGACTTTAGGAAGTGTAAGAGCCACGAGTAAAACAGTTAAAACTGTTAATGACAATTTCATAATCATTTTTAAGTTCAAATTTGTCTTGATTAGAAATGCATAAATATATAACAAATCTGCATTTGGAATGAGAGCACATTGATATGACATCATGGTCTTGTTGGTTCAGTTGAAAGTAAGTTATCATAGAAGCAATACAATTTCTTGACTGTGTGCTTAACAATGTAAGTTTCTAAGTAAACCTTTTAATAGAATATTGCTTTGTCCTGCAGTTTGCGTTATCAAGAGTGTGTGACTCCAACAAGTGCCACTACATTAGTCAAGAAATTTGTTAATTGGATTTGCCTGAAAATGTGTCGTGCTGCTCTGGAGATTAACGATGGTTCATTCTGATCGCTTGAGAAAGCAAAACCTCATCACAGAATTTTGAAACAACAACAACATGCTCTGCTACCAAGGACATCCCAGGGTCCAGGGGTGATGCACTGCAATACAAAACATTCAAGCGAGTATTTGAACACATCATAGAACAAAAGATAGACACGATCTAGCCAGGTTCTACTTTATAGAACAATTCATGTCTGGTAAGCCCCAAGAGCTAGTTCGCAGTCATGCACACATGCAAGCAAAGCGTCTACTGAATAAACATTGTGGGGATAAATTACGTATTGCCAGCAGGTATATTAAAAAGCCAGATCGATGACCATAGATCAAGTCTGATGATGCCAAAGCGCTGAATGCTTATGCAGTTTTCTTGATTGGCTGTCGAAACACTATGGTGGAATAGAATATTTAGCGGAGATGGATAATGCTACCAATCTCAGGACGCTGGTGTCCAAACTACCCTACAAGATGAAAGAACAATGTCTTGCAGAAGCAGGGTCCTGTTCGTGAACCCACGCCCGCCCTGTACCCAAAGTGCTTAAATCCGCATCCTACCCATTAACCGGCAGCAGAACTAATTTATATCTGCACCCGCCAGACCCGCGGCAAATAAACCCAACCCGAATTAAAATTAGACTACTACATCAGTTGGGTAAAAAAGCCTGAGCCCCGACACCTACATTGTATGCTAATGCAAAAAATCCGTCTCAAAAGATCTAATACACAAATTACACAGAGTTTGGTTATATTTCCCTTATCCTCTCGCCTTTGCACCTTTAGCCTTGTAGTTCTTGTAAGATGCCGTTCGAAAGCACCGCAGCTAGCTTTTGAAATAGCAGAGTTATCAACATGCTTTCTTTCCGAAAACATCATTATACACTAAAACTTTTAGACATTTTTTACATTTACCACATTGTTTTAATAAATAAATAGTTGACTTAATTTTAGATTATGGGTTTTCCTGGGTTGCCAACTCTCGGACTTTCAGACTTTTGCTCGCACAAGAAATCTTACAGAAAATCTTTATTATTTCCATTATGAACCTAAAATTAGCTACATCAACAGCGTTGGGGTAGTTTGCAAACCATACAGACTATTTACAAGGTAGTTAAACTGATACATACATGTAAATGTGTGTGCAGACTTGTTTTGTATTGAAAATCTCATGCCAGCCAGCTGACCAAAGTTGGCAAACCTGGTTTTCTGTAACTTTGAAATCTCCATGAGCCAGACATTTTCAAAATCCCTCGCTATCCATTTTACTGACTTTGTGGTTAATTGGATCATGTGATTTCAAGCAGTGTATTCTGGGAGGGCGGAAATATAATTTAAAAATCCATTATTATCAGTGGGTATCCAATGGTAGCTGTTGGGTTTTCTGTAGCTGTTGGATTTGTTACAGTTTCTCTGAGCATCGCACGGTCTGCATTTGGGGTGAATTTGCTGGGACGTCCCCTCCTGGGAAGACTGGCTACTGTCTTGAATGTTTTCCACTTGTCAATATTCTTTCTTATTGTAGAATGATGGAATTGTTTGAAAATGGCCTTATAACCCAACCCAGAATGATGGGTAGCAACAATTGCTTCTCTAAGGTCATTGCTGATGTCTTTCCTCCTTGGCATTGTGTTAACACACACCTGAATGCTCCAAACCAGCAAACTGCCAAAACCTCTGCTTTTATAGAGGTGTTCACACTTACTGGTGATCAATTAATCAAGTGCATTTGATTAGCAGCACCTTTCCTTTTACAAAAGCTCAAAGGAACCCAGACTTTTTTGAAGACTACAAGGTCTTCATCTACAGTATAAAGGAAAAGGATTATGCAGTCAAAGTTCCCGAAGAGCATTTAAATCGTGATCACGGAAGGGTGCTTAGCATAACACATAATGGGGTGTATCACTCCAAGAAGAGAAAAATACGAGTGATCTTCCACTGCACTGTCTCGTATCAGGATAAGTCGTTGAGTGAAGAGTTATTGCAAGGACCCAATCTGACCATGCTAGTGTGTGATCTCTTAAAATTCCTTCAGGGGGCAGTAGCGATGATATCAGACATGGGGGCTTGGTGTACAGTAGTGTACTGAAAGAGATACTTCTTGGCACCAGTCTTCTTGCCTGCTAAACTTCTCCTGAAAGAGCTGTGTAAAGAGCAGTATGAATGAGGTGACACCATGGGTGAGAATAATTCTGACAAATAGAAGAAGTGGCTTGAAGATGCTGCTCATCTCTCAGTTTCACATGAACAGGTGCCCGAAACCTGAAGACTTGACTTGCCTTGTCTTTGCGCAGTTTCATTTTTCAGACAGTTCAGAGTATGTGTAAAGTACAGAATCCTACCTGTTGCTAAAAACTGAAGAGGGTAGCAAACACTTTTTGTTTATCATGGGCGAATCTAGAGTGACCTCACTCAAGCGGGTCACTGTTCCCAGATTTGAGTTGACTGCTGTGCTAGTTGCAGTGAAGCTAAACAAAATTTTACACCAGTAACTTGAAATTCGACACAACAGTCTATCTTTTAGACCGACAGCACAGCAGTGCTTAGATATATTAACAATGAAACAGCCTAGGACTAAGACTGTATATTGACTAGTATATTTTCCAGACTTTGGTTTTATTTCTTGAAATAATCAGTTAAAATGTTTCATTTGCCAGCAGTCTGCTCTCTGCATGTTAATGATAATCTCTGTGCATTTGCTATGAGCCCGATGCATAATCTGAGTACTTATGTTCACAGGAAGTTGAAACTGCACCAGTTCTTGCCAATGCACTCAAAGATCCCCAGAAAAAAGAACGACCAAGAACCACAAAAACCCAGAGAGGACTAACGGCAGCTGCACACCTCCCCATTAGGGTGCCTATCGACTATGTCCAAAGTAAGTTCACCATCCCCTGTGCTGCAGAATATATGTGGTTAATAGAGCATTTAAGGCTCAGTCTTCGGGACGATATGGTGCCATTTCATATGGTCGGTCTGTGTAGGCTGTGCAGACCTTCCTCCAGAGAAGAAAATCCAGTCCCAGATGGCTCCCTTCTACTGAACCATGTGGCACTGTCATTCTCTAATGATCCTTCCTGGGAGTTCTACACAAACTTCATGTCTCACTCAGTTTTCAGGGGTTGCAGATCAACTGCTGTCTATATATTTCACAATGTATGTATATGAAAGACTGAATCGGTTATTCATTTCTCTGATCCATTTCCCTGGTTAATGTTCTGAAGACTTAGTCTTTTTCTCACTCTGATTTGTAGAGGGTGAAATTCTGCCTGCAATGGTCCAGTGGAATGAAGCACAAGGGCATCTAGAAAAAGTTAGTTACCACAATGGAAGGCTCTTAATCCAGGAAGGTGGATTGTACTATGTCTACACCAAGACATGCTTCCGTTACTATGACATGGAGGCAGCGTCCGTGGGGGAGTTTCTACAGGACGGTAGTACTCAGCTCATCCAGTATATCTACCTAGAGAGGCACACCCAGTTTCCAGCTAAGCCCACGGTGCTCATGAAGAGCGGTAGCACCAAGCGCTGGAGAATGGTGGGCTACAACATGTACTGTGAGCAGCAAGGAGGCCTCGTCGTGCTGAAGCAAGGGGACGGACTCTTTGTCAGCGTGTCCAATTTATGGATGTTGGATCCGGAGCCAGAGGGGGGCTACTTCGGTGCTTTCAAGATCAGCAAGTGACGTGGCCTCCTGATTGGCTGATGCCGGCTGCTCTTCCTGAGTGCAATTGGACCGTTTCGAGGTGTTTTGCCGAATGCGATCACGAGCCACCTGCTGCGGAGACATTGGACTTGCTATTGTTAGAGGATAGACTGATTTGCCCAGAATCTCAGCTGCCTGCTAAAACGCAGCTTCACCAACCTGTCGGCCGTTAGCCCTGCACTTGCAATAGCTGCTTAGCCCTCCTGCATTCCACCATGTCCTCTGCAGTGATAACAATGCAGTGCTCTGCAGTGATAACAATGCAGTGCTCTCTGCCGGAGGTGCACTTGTCATTTGACCTAAGCTTTCTAGTGGGTACAAAAAATTGATTTTTGCAGAACTATTTTATCTTTGAGAACGATGTGAGGTCGGAAGATAAGAAACTGAATCCAATTCTCTGCTACTGAACTGAATGTACAGAATCCTGTCTTATGAACGATTTTGGAACAATCAACAACCACTGAGCACTTCATTGCATATTGAGCACTTACTTGAGTACATGCTTTTATTGTAGTATTTAAAATATTTAAATTATATTATGTGCATAACTTAATGAGAAGTATCCCAATTCATTCATTCTTCTCATTAACCCCCAGCTGAATTAGTAACCTTATGTTTTATATAATTGTAAAAATCAATATTAAATTAACAGATCCCAGTATGGTTTTATGGTATCCGATAGCAGTTCAAACTGTAATACGTTTGTAATAAAACAACTCCAACTGCTTCTGTCCATTGTTTAATAATTCCGTATATACAAGGCTCTTAAACAAAGACTCTTTTTGTTTTGTTTCAGTCTAAACCATCAGGAGTAGTGAATGATCGAAAAACAAAATGGGTAATGTAAAATAATATAGAAGGTATAAATGTATCATGGATTCCATTTGAATAAACACACTCTGACCCATTGTTACAGATAAGAGCACACACTTCAGATTTACCATGTGTCAGAATAACTTTTGTTCTTTGAAGGCGTATTCAGTGTGTAATCGATTGTGTCAGACTTTTATTTCTGAGCTCAGCATGGATCCAGGGCTGTTCCTGGTAACCTAGGGCTCTGTTCCATTTTCCTGATTTTTTTTTTGTATAGTTCCTAAGTGTGTTTCTGGATTAAAAAAAAAAAATCTTACACATATTGAACTTCTTAAACATATTGGTAAAACATTTTATAATGAGTTGATATCAAACCCTTGTCTTCCTATATAATATGACTAATTTGGCCAAGAGCCGACAGTTTGGAGACGCATCTGTGGAGTTTGGCCTTCGTGCGAAATTGGTGTTTATCCCCAGGGTTCAAAAATGTAACTTTCATTTTACATCCCCTCTGTGTAGTGTTTCTCATGTACTGATGTACTATAGGTTCTGAAAGCAATATGCTTCAGATAAAGTGCAAGTTGAAAATGCCAGTGGGCAAAAAGCATGATTAGCAACCGAAGACAGCTGGACTGTTAGCTATTGACTTATTATGTTTTTATTAACATGTTTTTTGGACCAACATAAGAGGTGACACCAGATTGAATTTGGTACACCTTTAACTAAAACGTATTTTTTTTTCTTCTCATTTCCAGTCTATGTAATGAGGTGAGAATATGCACTAAATTTGTTTTTATTTATTTGACATTTCATAGTTGTGGTTCATTTGTCGAGTGGTCTATTGAGACATGAATCTGTATAATGTGTCTTTTGTGTGGTTTCACCGTATAAAAACACAGGCTTTTAATATAACAAAGATGTTCCTGTTTATAAAACCATGGAGTGGTTAATGAACATCAAAGTCACGTGCTTGTTTATGAATCTGATGTATAATGAAGACGTAAGACAATGCTATGCGCAAAAGGGCCTGACTATAGCAGAAAGATGTATTCATTAGGATAAGTTTTAAGTTATATCAAATACTTAATACACGTTTTATTATCTGTTATTTATACAAATATTTTTACTGGCTGTTATCTACTTTGCATTACAAAATAAATAATTTTGTACTAATCTTGTTTTGTTTAATGAATAATGAAATGAAAGAAAAAATTTGACTAAACAAATGGAATCCATACGTCATAAGTCTAGGTGCTGTTTCAGGTCCACAGGGATTGGATGATGATACATTTTGTCGTGGTACCACTTGTGAATTATTATGACTGAATACATTAATGCAGCAAACACAAAAACAAAATGTGTCACACAAGCTTAGATTAGCTTTGCCATTTAAACAAATGTAACAAGTTTGGGAAACAAACTACTACAGTTATGTTCGATTTTGGCCCCAGTGAGTCTTAACTGAATACAGATATCTAAGCCATAGGGTTAGGCTGAGTGGAAACAGACTCAGCTCAAAATGATATATAATGAAAACAGCTTGGCTGCATGGGATATTTGACTAAAGCCTTTTGCAGATGGTGATTCAACCAGATTGTACTGATAGATTCTGAAAAAGTAGAGAGAAGGAGATACTTACCAGTATGACAAAGTTACTTATTGTAAACTGCTTCTTTGGTCTGTAAAGCCCGGTTCGTGTTCACATATAAATTTGAATATCAAAATGCTTGCAGCAAAGATATTTCTTTCTCCAAATGGTTTTTCTGTTCGAAACTGCCTAAAGCAGTAATTGCAATGACATATTTATTGCACACTTTTAAATTTTACATCTGATGAATATTAACTTTCCGTTCATACTGTACATTCTTACTCTCAAGACAGAAATGTAGCAAAATTGTGATGTATTAATTAAACACACATGATCTGTGTTTTAATACTTAAGTTCATTTCCTTCACTTATACCACACATGGCTTTCATCAGAGGGCTTTCTTATAGAATATAATTAAGATTCTCATTTTTTAACTTACGGGCTCATTGAAATAAGATAAGACAAAACATATTTCATTGATCCCAAGGGGAAATTCTTTTCAGACAGTGTTCAGATAGAGACATATAGTGCAAAATAAAGATAAAGCATGAAGACGGCACACTGTACTCAAACAGAATATTGTGCAAACAAAAGCTGGTCATGAATCCATAACCCCTTAAGCCAGAAGTCCTTTCTTTGAAATAGGGGCCACACAGCCTGTGCTCTAGAGCTGAGGCCCCTTCTGTAGACTCAGAGATAGAGAGTACAATTACCAAAGGAATCCTAAGAGTTGCCTGGAACATGTCTTTTGTACCATAGGGCAATGTTTCCCAATCCGGTCCTCGGGGACCCATAGCCGGTTCACGTTTTTGCTCTTTCCCAGTTCCCTGCCAAACAGTTCACGTTTTTGCTCTTTCCCAGTTCCCTGCCAAACAGTTCACGTTTTTGCTCCCTTCCCCACTCCAAACGTGGACTGTCTGTG